AAACGAGTTGTCCAAATCTGCTCGCAGTAATGCGCTTCAATTGCGATTGCTTGCAAATACTTGGCTGATTGCTAGCAACTGTAATTGAAGCGCACGCTGAAAATGAAACCTTGAATCGAAGGGGACACATTGAAAATCAAATACATTCGGCATCGAATTTTCAAAGGATAGACCTCAAATGGTCGCGGCGGTCCCGCAACGACCGCTAGTCAAGCATGGACTGTACAGCGTATGTTGAACGATCCGCCCTGGAATGAGCGAACCGCCCCCTTCGAAGAGTGAATTTCGACCCCTTCCAGCGCATTTCAGAGGTAGGTTTTGAACTCAGTGACATCTCCTATGAACTTTAGTTGGGCTGGGGCATGTTTTGACCGCCTAATGACCAAGTAGTTGAAACCCTGCCTGGACTGTTGCTTTAAAGGGCAATGTGAACCAAGCAATAGAGGCCTGAATAAATGCAGTACGGATCATGTGGAGGGCGCCTAGTGGTATCTTTTCTAACCAGTGATGCTGCAGGGCACTCAAGGGCAACGATCCGTGTCCTCTGCCAATTGGTTAAGGCCTTGCGATGACGGTACGGTAGCGAGTTTAGCCCTAAACAGGAGAAAACGAGAAACAGGAGGACCAATGCGGAGGCCAAAGGAGTGCTGAGGAAGACACGCCTCCACTGAATTCAGCCTGAATAATCAAGCCCCACGTTCCCTTTCGCCATCGCGCTGAACGTGAGGTCTTGATAAGCTTGGGCGGGATAAATATGACTTTATACTTGACTTAGCGTAGGCGGTTTTTGCCACAGCATCATATTTAAGTGACAGCATGATTCTGAATGGGAATATTGTGCATGGCTCACTCGAAAACAAATAGATGATCAATCCCACAAGCTCCACATTTTTACGCCTTTTTTTATGAGAATTAGATGCCAATTCAAGTTCAGTGTCGGTACCCGGTGTATTTATAATCACAAGCTCAAAGACCGTTACTCCTCGTTATCACGGTCAGCTTTGTTCCCTTTGATTATTCAAGAGATCACGAAAAACTGAGGGAAAACTTACATGGGAGGAGGGGGGGAGAGGAAGGGTAGGAAGTTATCGACGCGGACCGCTTGAAACCCTTGGCAATGTTTCGTTTGACGTCGACCCGTCTCTGAACTCTTACACTAGTTTTCGGAATGTGCGCCCTCATACAACGCATGTTTGCTCTCTCAAAAAATCCACTCGAAGGCGCTCAGATTGAGGGAGCTGGCGAAACGGCAAGTGGAGAAAAAAAGAAAAAAAAAAAAAAAAAAAAAAAAAAAAAAAAAAAAAAAAAAAAAAAAAAAAAAAAAAAAAAAAAAAAAAAAAAAAAAAAAAAAAAAAAAAAAAAAAAAAAAAAAAAAAAAAAAAGGGGGGAGAAAACAAAAAAAAAAAAAAAAACAAACACAAAAGCTAGGCAACTTTATTCATTTATGCTCAGCCTTTCATAGAAATTCACAATTGAAAAAAGCAAATTTTAGCTGCATAGTGGAAATTCGATCGATCGATCGGTCGTCGCTCGTCGGATTCGCCGATGCCGTGGAGCACTTCTGGACGGACGGACTTGTGACGACGCGCATATTCGGTCGAAGTGATTTGAGAATTCATGGACAGTAAACACAATGCAAATGGATATGAGACACATAGTGAAGCCTAAACGTTAACGACTTGACCCTAATAGGATTATGTGAGCAAAGGATCCGTGCGGTGACAGCTTCATTGCGCTCGCTGCTTCTGTTGTGTTCGCATACGGACGAGACTGTTCTCGGCGACTTCGGCACGTTCCTCTGCGTTTTCGTATAACTTCGTATTCAGGCCAATTGGATTTGGGGCGGAACTTGGAAAGATTCTGTGTTGCGACTTCCTCCTGAACAAGACTTAGTCAGTACTGAAAGGTCATCGAAGCCCTGTGGGCCGCTACATGGGTTTTAATAATGGAGGTTCGAGTACTATTCATACGATAAACTGAAAATCGCACAGAACTTCAATCTTAGCGCTTCCAAAGTGTAGTTCAAATTTCTGCAACAAAAAATTAATGGCACCCGTTTCGGTGTTCGGAGCAGAAACTTTCAATTAGTCGATGTCTGGCGAGCTTTGGTACGATTTTTCTATCGAGTGGGTTGAGAATGTAGTGCTACTACTGTAGCGCCGCTTTGAACCCTTCTTGTCTCAAGGGTAGATTTCGTAAGCTTCAAAATTTTTGGAGTTTCTACACTAGAGCCCCCCCCCCCCTCGAGGTCACTATAATTTGCTCAATTCTAGGCCTAGGGTAGCTCAAGTGGGGCCATTAAAAAGGCTTGAAACATTCATGTGAATTCCTTCTAAAGTCTCTTCTGGGTCTCACATCTACAGTCGTGGAAACGAACGGTCAATCCGATGACCATTACTTCCTTTCCGTTTTCAACTGAGCTTGTTTTTCTTGCTAGAAACTGTTTTCGAGAGATCATCACTTACAGCCTCTTCGATCTGTCTCTTCTGCACGCGAATCTTCTGTTGCAATTTCTCCACCATTTCTTGGAGTCGATCAAACATCTTTTTGTCTTCTTCTACCTGAAAGTACAACTTGTTAGCTTCCTGGTGATTCATTAAGCACCAAATAGGCTTAATTTGATGGCTTTGAGCACACTTCTTATTGTTTAGGACTCCCCAGCTCCACGGAATACTCTATTGTTGATCACACAAAGGATATGTGATGATGGCTGGATGGTATAGTGTAATGGCAGGAGTCAGAATTCTAGCCTCATACATATCCTCGACCAAGGAAATAAAACGAGAATGATTGGAATTAGAAAGGTATAACAAAGTGATACCAGCAATTAAAGAGGCAGAGGTCCTGCCCTGTCACGATGTGCAATGCGGAACTTCCCGGAAGTGCAAATAAATAACGAGATTGAAGTGAATAGTTGTGCTGAAGCATTCTCCATGAAAGAGCCCTTTCATTGGGCTTACGTTTGAATCTTTCGCCTCTGTCAAAGCACAAAAATCGAAGAAACGCCCGAGTCCGATTCCACTTGTAGGACAATGAAATGGCTTGCGAGACTTAGGAGAGGCTTCAGAAACAGCTTACTATTTATTATTAAATTGAATTATTTTGATTGGAATTTAAATTTAAAATTAAATAAGCTTATGTTATATGTTATTTTCGATCCCAGATTTTTAGGGCAAAGTCTATCTTAAACTGAATAGGGAGATTTTTCACTCATCATCATTTGGAGGGATTTCTGTACCAGTTCGAGAGGAATTTAGAATGAAATAATGAAAAAAAGTATCAATTGGAATGAAATATTGCAAAGGGATGGTTTTTGAAGGGAGACAGACCTTGGCACAATGAGGGATAAAAATTAAAATAAAAAGTAGATGCAGCAGAGGTGCGAAAAAATAGGAAAAAAAGTGGAGTTGACCTGGAATTGGAGTTCTCGAGAACGTCGTTCCTGTTTCGTCAAGCCCTTGACGGCTTCTTGATGGCGACGTGCTTCGGCATGGTACGCAGCGGAAACCTGGCGCACTTTCTCTTCAACCTTGGACAAGGCTTTCTGGCCGACTGAAAGATTTCAAGGCTTATTGCTGACAAGCTGCAATTCAATCTTCTAACATTACATTGAAGCATGGCTCTCTCGGCGTCTTCGATCTTGGCCTGCAGTTCTTTCGCTGTAGCTTCAAGTCCTTTCCGATGTCGTTCCACGTGGAGGCAATGTTCCTGTTCCTGTCGAACTTCTTCGGCCAAACGGTCGGCATCAGAGGCTGCCTAGAAAAGGAAGGATGAGTTTTGACACTGCGTGCCTTTCATCTATACTATGATCTGAGTCATTCATACCTTGCGGGAGCGTTCCTCGGAAGCCTTGAGTTCATTGAGGCATTCATCGAGTTCGTTCGTGCGAAGCAAAATATTTTATTGTGAAACGTGATTCCAAGAAGCAACTTACCCTGGCGATTTGGACATCGTTTTCGACTTTTCGCTTCATAGCGGTAAGGGCGGCATTGTTAGCGATGAGTTCAGTGTTCTGCGATTTCAGGTCGGCTTGGTCCAACTCCAGCTGACGTCTCGACTGTAACACGAGTAATGATGTGGTGAAAAATGGGTCTTGTCTTGATAGCGAAAGTACTAGCTAGATTACTAGACCACGGCCATCATTGGAAGTGTGCTCTTGAGATGTGTTCGTGGACTGCATAGAACATGAAAATCATAAGATCATCGAAAAACTCCCTGGTCTCGTGCCAGAACCACGGGTTTCCTGCCGAATGAGTTGCATAAAATCAGGTTAAAATCTAGCCATATTTCCGCTTAAAAATAATCCATCGGCATGCAGTCCGGCAGAACCTTCCACAATGCTCAACTATATGTGTCCCCAGATTACTATTTATTCAATTATTATTTAGTCCGACGCATTCATTCAAAGAAGAGGGAGAGGGTGGTTAGCTTCAAGGCCGCTACTGCATCTATGCCAATACTCAATTGGCTGTAATTCCAAACTTATTCAGCATAGGATAAGAAATAGCATGAAGTGATGTCAAAAGGTGACGCTGAGCTTTTGCAATGCCAAAGTTATGCGTAGGTTGGTCTGGAAGGAAGGCCACGGGGATTCATCGTTCTCGAGATTCTGCCGTCAAGAACGTTTTCTGCATCTCAAGCGTCAATCATTCTTGTTTCATTACAGAGTGCAGACTGAAGGATGATTCCATGATAAAGTCTGAGGTGGAAAAAGAAGAAATTTAACTCAGTGGTACGACAGGCGAACCCCCAGGTAAGGACAGACACGCAATTCGCACGAATCACATGCCCCGGCGATCTAGCATGGCGGTCCCCGGGCCGCTATCGCCGCTGCCCGCCTACCCCGACCGTCTGGTTCTAGCCGCCTAGCAGCGAGAGCGTTAGATGAGGTCAGCACCGATGAGACGCACCTAACGCACAAATCAACGAGGCGAATGGGATCCAATTTTTGAGTTCCAGGTTGTTTCTTGGCTTTTCTTCAGCACTGCATCACTGATCACCTCTTTCTATCTGCAGAGGGATATCTTTTTATCGTGAATTCGCCTTTAAGTTAATGGAAGGGATATCACAATTTTCAAGACTAGAACTTCTGCTAATTCTTGGCAGCAGGCCTTCGGACAAATCATAAAGCACTCTTTGGTACGGGAAGGTCACCCAAATATCTATTGGTACTCTGGGTGTTTCGTAGCACGGCCGAGGTCATCCAGACTTGGTAGAGTAGGCTATGTACTGCGTTTATTGGAGCTTGCCGAATTGCACCTTATGGACATTTATAGATCCACAAAGAAATTTCGCAGTAGCTCCCTTATCACTTCTCATCTAGCTGAAAGGAATAGGATCGATGTTATGAAAGAGAAATGCTAGGTAACACTGATTGAGAGGGTTCAGATAGAAACAGTAGCGATCGTAAGCTCTCATCTAAAGCCTGACTGGTACAATGAGCACGCAGGGGGGCGGCAAAAATAAGATATTTTGTCCCTACATTGGAATGGAATCATTCACACTCTACTAAATCCAAACTTCGTGCACCCGGCTGGGTATTCAAGAACGCACTCCATTTATGAGAAAAAAAACTTCAGAGCTACTGTCTAAGAAATTATAAAACAGTGAATCGATTCAGAAAAGCAGCAAGCTCAGGTTGAAGCAATCACGGACGGTCTCCTGAGTTCCACGACAACGGCAGAAGGCGCCATATTTCGAAGAGCGTGGAAGAAGTGAAGGAGGGCTTAGAGAGTGAAGGGGCGTATTCTTATAGGGGAACATGTTGGGAATATTTTGCATGGTAGAGTTCCATTACCAGTAGTAATCCGTGCGACGACAAATCGCTGATGTGCAACATTGACAAGATTTTTTTGCCCCCCCCCTGTACAGTTTGCATGAGTGCCTCAACATTGCGGACCACTAGAAATGACCGAGTTCTTCTTGATGCAAAGCGGCCATCGCCAGCGGCATATCTGTCCACTACGGTCGCGCGGAAGCTGACCTAAGCCATCACACATTCGGACGCGTGATGATCTCGTTGAGGTGGGCGACCCGGCGGTGCCTGGTGCATACCCGTTGCCCACACATTGGATAAACC